CTTATCGATATGCAAAAGGCTACGTGCGCGCTAAACTAAGCAGCAAGTTTACTTCAGATAATGGTTTCCGACAAGAAAATGTAATATTTAAAAGCAATATTCACATGTATTTTCACTCAGTAGTATTAAACTTTAGTTCATATAAGCAACGAGTTGCATGTTAAATGAACTCTTAATGTGATGAGAATATTTTAATTGATACGTCGTTAACAGTCATCTGAGATTTATACTCGTATAAGAATACAACGCCTAAGATTTCTTTTTTTATAAAACTGACCAGCAAACCAACTATTAAACTACTCTAAAACAAGTAGTTGTAGCCCTACTAACACTGCTTACGAATATATTGATTTATTGAATTTATAGTCCACAACTTCTCAAGTAAAATCAATAGCAGAAATTTTTATTTTGCATTCAGAGTTTCAACATTTTTCCCAAAACGTTATAGGTCCAGTTCCACAGAGACAATCTCACCTCATCGTAAAAATAACAATATAATAAAAACAAAGGGGAATGATACACACCGAACGTTTAAGTCGCAACTATCAACGACAGAAATAAGAGTATCAACATTCATAAAGGTGACTTCATGACGGAATTAATTACAAACACTGAATCTGAAAAGAAGGTGAATGAATATCAGATAACTCGACTTCATGCCCACCATTGCGAATTTTAAAATTAAAGTTTCTAATAAATAGCACTGAATACTTTTTCCGAAAAATGTTTTAGCCAACGTTCGCCTCTCTCCTGTTCTTTTCTTCTCGTTAAAGTAATAAACTTCAGGCACCTGACAGCCGGATGAAAGATTCTTTATTTATAAACCTATTCCAACTTACATTTGAACTGGATACATTCCAATTACAGGATTATAGCCGTCAGTGATTAAACTGAATGTTAGATACACACATTTAAATATTAAAATTAATTGTTCTAACTTATTTCAGTGTAACTCATATGTTTTTAAATACTGAAATAAAATTTGTTAAATTTCAGCAAGGCTTCTTAAATATGTAATAAATTTCTAAATAAATTAATTTTAAACAGAATCGGAAATATTGTTAATTGAGAACAACTTACGTCCTTTTCCCGCAAAGAGTCTGGCCAACATGAACCAAATCCAGAAGGATTTTGGTTCTCTTCAAACAAAAGCCATATAGGTTTTACGTAGCTTGATCGAAAGGTGCAATAAAAATGTTGATATCAATTATTCTTGTACACTTTTTCGCTATATCATGTAAATACTAATAATTTGTAGACTTTTTAAAAACATTTTGTTTAAATTAAAAATAGTTCCTGTGAAGTAATTTGTAACTCTAGCAGATATTTTTCAATGCATCGTAACATTCATTTGCTGTTAGAGATAGGTGGCTTTCTGTATAAAGAACCGACTGCATACAGACCCAACACGACACACCAAGAACTATTCGTTATCCAGTTAGTCAGAAGAAGTGGCGAAAAATGATATTTTGTGGTGAAGAGAAGAAGGTTAGAAAGTTTTGCTGACAGATTTAGCGACTATTTAAACCAAGGTGGAAATTGCCTATAAATCACTGAGGAAATTATGTCTATGCCTTCTTATTCTTCCCAGAGAAAGGGGAAGCTTTAAAGTCGATACGAATAAAATAATACAATAAATATTTGTAACAATTCTATGGTAGAAAGATAGAACAATAAAAAGAAACAACGTAACTCTCACAAAACACAATCAACGACAGTTGAACGAATCACAGAGCAAGGTACGGGCTATTTTATTTGAAAAGCCTAAGAAAGACGAGAACAGTTGGGAATAATTGGATTTGCGTGATGAACACTGTAGCGTGTAAACAAAAGATGTTTCTCCATAAGCATTTGAACCGGCAATTATTATTACAACTGTTGTGTGTTCATGAGGACTGAAGAATTCGTGCGATGACCACTCACGACAGGATATATCAATCTCTGTCTTCATTTTTCTATTGTTGATTGTTCAATTGCTTTTTCCGAAGGTAATCACAAGATAGGTCTCTGTTTTGCTGGTTGCCAAATCTATGGAATTCACAGACCTTGTAAAATCCGTTGGCCTACTAAAACTTCCTTTACTGTGGAGAAACATGACATTTACATACCTTTGTTGAAAATTAGGGGTGGAAAGATTAATGGTAATAACATTATTGCGGAGCACGAACGACGTCCACACCAAATTTCATGAAAATCCATTCACCCGTTCTCGTAATGTTTTATACTTACAGACGAGCCGACAAAGCTAACATAATAGGTGTTCAGCAGAGATGCTACGAATGCGGCTAAAGTATCAAAATACTGTAATAATTACAATTGTTATCAATCAAAATTTCTCGGGAAATCAGCCGCGTCAAGCGGTTACCGTAGTAAACCGACGTTTCGGGAACCAACTTTTCCCATCATATAGGTTCTGATGTGATTGGCTACCTCGGAAGTTATATTGTCGTATAATACATTAAACACGTATTAATAAACATAATCTGAATTTTAAACGTATATACATATTTTCTATTCTTTTCAGTTTTATTACGTGCAAAATTTAAGTGACGTTTCTATTTCATAATTTTAAACGAATATGTTGCAAATAAAATTAACAGCATCAACTGACACGTCATCACAAAATATCGTTCTTTCTGATTGAATGTTATTAAAGGAACAATAATCATACTCCAAAATAAACTGCTTTGCCATGAGAAAACAACCTTTGAATTGGTATTTGAGGAAAAACGACAAAGGAAACAGCATATTACAAAGTCATAGTCCATTCAACTTTCCAAGTAGGCTACATCGAAGCCGCTCAAACCATATCTGGGCAAACAGATTCATTTTGTTGTAGTTATTATTGTTTACCGCGAACTGTACCCTGGGCCGTGGTCCTGAACCAGTCACGATGCCAAGCCATCCGACGCAAGTCACGAATTCATCTATTTAAAGCAAAAGAGACTAAGCGAATTTTCAAACATTAGTTTCATGATGCCGTGCCGACAACTATCTCTCTTCTTCTGTCCCTTTTGGAATATTATCTTTATCTTTATACGGAAACTTCAATTAACCTCAAATATTCCCTGTTTAACTAGTGCTTCCTAATCATGATGATACAGTGGGATATGTTTTAGATATGTGGTTCAAGCTTATATCAGTTTTTCTGTTATAAAGCGGCCCCTTAAACAAGTAAAAATAAAGAATAATAAACCAGACATAGTAATAGTAATTAAATTCTTTATTATTCTATAATAATAATAATAGAAATATACCCCTGCTACAACTTACCCCAATCAACATTCCATCAAGGTTGCCTTCTGCTGGTTAAAACTAATACCTACTAGTGAGTTGTAGTAATGCGACTCATTTGGAATCTCGCTACATTACTCGTGTGTATTAATACCGCTGTAGGCCTATAATACAGCTACTGCAAGCACTAACATTTCTGTCACATTTAAATCGAAGCCTTCAAGATTTCTAATGTTAATAGCCTATCATATAAGCCTTTAATTATGAGGATGATTTGCCATACTGACAATTCTAATGATGTCAGAATTACAGTCTCTGGCACTGCAATTAGCTGCTTCTGAAGATGATATGTGCCAATGATCGAAGGTAAAGGTTAAGTTGTCTCTTAGCTGAAGGCGTAAAGGAGAAGTGGATGCAAAACTCCACGCATTCCTACCGTTTTATCCTCTGGGAAGAAACGCAGCATTCCCAGTTGTATAGGAGACTGGATGAGCCATAGAACCAGACTGGTACTCACTAATCTAGTCTCAGCACCAATCAGGAGTCTAAACCCTAACGTACAGTTCACAAGCAATTACCTTATTTACTGAAATGTTCTCCTGTGACTTGCAAATATGGCACCATATCGGAAGAAACAGGAGCGTGGAACAAAAATGAGAATTTGTCTAGCCTTCAAAAAACTATTTTATTTTGTGGACAATACTATCCCAATTTAGTACAAATTTAATATCCTTCACGCTATAGTGGTATTGAATTTGAATCTATCACATAAAACTGCTTCTGCTTCAGGATAAAATATTTCATATGAAAACAGCAACTCTTTTTAATTTTGAAACAAACTATGATATTAGAATCGTATAAGATCATTACTTTAACTTTCACATGTTTGACATGAAACGACGGTAAGTTTATCTTATATACGAAACCAATATATGCCAAAAGTGACTGGAATCTATTAGAAAATAATTTTGTTGCCTCCATGTGTTTATGTATGTTTAATGTGCGCCAGGCGTGTATGTATGTGCGTATGTACACGGAACCACAGACACTCATTCGTTAATGCACGCATACACAAATGCATGCATGCATACGTACATAAACAGATACATATGTACATATGTGTGTGCAGCGTGCATGTGTGTGAGCATGTTAGTTTTTGTCGTATCCATCTTACTTAACGCCATAACTACACTTACTGAACGTCGAGGTATTTTGTTATTACTGATTAGTGTCTGGAAGGTCCCAAGTTCGAAACTCGACAAGAGACCCGCTCCCATTTTCGTCAATCCGTCAAGATACATGTCGGCCGATTTGTCGAAAATCGTTTCAGACTCTG